GACATGAGGTCTCCAGACCCGAGACTCTCCTAAAAAGATTTTCAGGAGCCAACTCCACTGCTGAGAGTAAAAATATCTATTAGTCTGTGTTGGAAAATAGGCTGGCTGCAGGGAGGATGAACAGAAATTGTCACATTTAAGTTTTGAGACTTTCTGGATGTTGACAAATCTTAAAAATAGGAATCTGGTTCATTTGATCAGACGTGTGTTGTGGTTCTGAGGTTTGGGGAGAATCTAACCTGTAAAGATTGTTGCAGTGCTGCTATCCACAGATATTGGCTTTTGTTAGTTTTCTCTTTGCAAACAGTGTCAAAATGTTTAGTGGAATGCAAGTTCATAAAATGCAATGATTTCAAGGGCAAGGTTTCTTTATTGTTATTCACATCGCATGTGGAGCATGTGGTGGAACGAAACTGTGTACACAGGGTCCCAGTTACATCCAACAAAAGTATAAATTGTAAAAGAAAAACAGTAATAAGATCTAAGATATGAACTAAGAAAACAGTAATACGCCGAGCAGCAGCAGCACGAACATGAGTCTGTGATGATTTACGGTCTCTACTACGTCTATAATATTATAGAAAATGTGGTTTATCTTGAGAGAATGTCATAAGTATCAAATGTCCAACATCCAACAACTAACCAGTTATTTTATTGGCTCCAACACAGGTTGGTGTGGGAAAGAAATCAAATTTTTGATGAAAGCCAGTGGAGCAAACCAGTGAAGTTCAGCCTCCAGTGGTCAAACCTTGAAGAGTTAGCAGAACAGGACGGAGACACTCAAATCCTGAAAACTCGTCGTCTTTTGCTCACCGGTTGATGGGATTTTATTTAGCCGACTAAATCAAGCTGTGGAATAATGTGAAAGGTCACGAAGAAAGTTAAAAAAAAGTTTTAAATGGGTTTAAATATTTTTAATAATGTCAATAAATTAAGGTTAACTATCTAAAGCTAATTTATGACAGTTATAAATTTCTGAAAGTATCTTCCATGACCCATTTCTAACACAGTTTAGGGAAACTTTATTTACCCAAGAGTCTTAGGATAAACTTACAGGACAGTGTCTGAAAGGGATTAAAAATAAAAAAAGTTTTTCTGGTACTCATCTGGACTTACACCTTATCTATAAATGTTTGTCATTACGCAGCATCAACATGTGGATATGAACATTTATACCAAATACATCTGGATTTCACATCCAAACAACTCTTTAATACGTGTGTTTAGTTTATGCTTTTGCTTATATTTAGATAATTCTTTGTTTCTGTGAAAAAAAAAACAACAACTAACAAATAAAAATATTACAGGTGCTGGTCATAAAATTTGAATATCTTGAAAAAGTTGATTTTATTTCAGTAATTCCATTCAAAAAGTGAAACTTGGATATTATATTCATTCATTACACACAGACTGATATATTTCAAATGTTTATTCCTTTTAATGTTGATGATTATAACTGACAACTAATGAAAATCCCAAATTCAGTCTCAGAAAATTAGAATATTACTTAAGATCAATAAAAAAGGCTTTTTTTTATAAATGTTGGTCAACTGAAAAGTATGAACATGAAAAGTATGAGCATGTACAGCACTCAATACTTAGTTGGGGCTCCTTTTACCTGGATTACTGCAGCAATGTGGTGTGGCATGGAGTCGATCAGTCTGTGACACTGCTCAAGTGTCATGAGAGCCCACGTTGCTCTGATAGTGGCCTTCAGCTCTTCTGAATTGTTGGGTCTGGTGTATCCCGTCTTCCTCTTCACAATACTCCATAGATTTTCTATGGGATTAAGGTCAGGTGAGTTTGCCGGCCAGTTAAGAACAGGGATATCATGGTTCTTAAACCATGTACTGGTTTGGCACTGTGTGCAGGTGCTAAGTCCTGTTGGAAAATGAAATCTGCATCTCCATAAAGTTGGTCAGCAGCAGGAAGCATGAAGTGTCTAAAACTTCCTGGTAAAACAGCTGTGTTGACCTTGGACCTCAGAAAACAGTGGACCAACACCAGCAGATGACATTGCACCCCAAATCACTACTGACTGTGGAAACTTGACACTGGACCTCAAGCAACATGGATTTTGTGTCTCTCCTCTCTTCTTCCAGACTCTGGGTCCTTGATTTCCAAAATAAATGCAAAATTTACTTTCATCATAGAACATAACTTTGGACCACTCAGCAGCAGTCCATTCCTTTTTGTCTTTAGTCCAGGCGAGACGCTTCTGACGCTGTCTCTTGTTCAAGTGTGGCTTGACACAAGGAATACAACAGCTAAAACCCATGTCTTGCATATGTCTGTGTGTGGTGGTTCTTGAAGCACTGACTCCAGCTGCAGTCCACTCTTTGTGAATCTCCCCCACATTTTGGAATGGGTTTTGTTTCACCATCCTCTCCAGGATGTGGTTATCTCTATTGCTTGTACACTTATTTTCTACCACACCATTTCCCTTCTTTCGCCTCTTTATTAATGTGCTTGGACACAGAGCTCTGTGAACAGCCAGCCTCTTTAGCAATGAACTTTTGTGTCTTGCCCTCCTTGTGCAAAGTGCCAATGGTTGTTTTTTTGGACAACTGTCAAGTCAGCAGTCTTCCCCATGATTGTGTAGCCTACAGAACTAGACTGAGGCCATTTAAAGACCTTTGCAAGTGTTTTGAATTAATTGGCTGATTAGAGCGTGGCACCAGGTGTCTTCAATATTGAGACTTTTCACAATGTTCTAATTTTCTGAGATACTGAATCTGTCTTTTTTTTTTCATTAGTTGTCAGTTATAATCATCAACATTAAAAGAAAGAAACATTTGAATATATCACTGTGTGTAATGAATGAATATACAAGTTTCACTTTTTGAATGGAATTACTAAAATAAATCAACGTTTTCATGATATTCTAATTTTATTACCAGCACCTGTATGTATTAAAAAGTAGAAAATTTAAGCTTTAGACCAAGGTTAATGCTCTTCACGTCACACTGCCAATGTGACATTGGGACTTGTAGGTATGAGAAGGTGAAGACACTGCAGGAAGACTGATTTAAGGTACAAAATATAAAATAAAATACAAACCAGTGTGTTTACATGTTGTTTTCAAGTCTGTCAGTGATGCCGTTTTGCCACTGCTAGCTTCCTTCTTCAGAAGGGGGGGGGGGGGGGTTGTGTGGTTGAAAAATGTTAAATAAGTGAAGCTGTTCCGAGAAGCAAATGTAAAAAAAAAAAAAAAAGTTATTCTGACCGTTGCATAGAAGTGGAGGCCAAAATCAAACGTAAAAAAAAAGGAAGCTGTAAAGTTGATTTGATTGAAAAATATCAAAATGAGTCCACAGAGAGGGAACTCTAAGGAGATCTAAAAAGAATATTGTGACACACGTTTACATAGACATTTAGGACTGGGGGTTTAAATTAATAATTAACATAACTTCTATAATAAATCAGAGAAAACTTATGAAATTATTAGTACGAATTATTTCAGACCACAGAGCAGTTACTACATGAGGGAGACTGGAAGTGTTCGGATAAATTCCTTAAATTGCAAACTAATTATCAGCACATTTCATGAAACATCTGCAATATGTAGAATTTGAAAACATTCGACAGAAACTCAGCACATCTACATCACATTTTCTACGCTGAATAGCATTGCTGTTTATCGCAGAGCTTCATTAGGACAAATTATTAGATGTGCATTTTTTTTTCTCTGAGGCTTCAACACCATCTGGGTGAGAAAGTTTCCAATTTCACTCGTTTTGACCTTCCTATGCAGTGTCAGTTTAGCGCCACAAGGGGGCGACAAACGCACATTGTTCCATATCTTTTGAAAATCTTTGCTTTGCAAAAAGTTTGCTTTGACAGAAAGATAAAAACACACAAAAAATATATATTTTTAAAAATCACAGGTACAAATAAATTAAGTGTTGGACCATAAAGTAAAGTTTTTGCTCTGCTTACCATAAGAATACCAAACAATCTCTGTATTCTGAATATTAACACTTTATTTTGTCTGACTGAAACTATTGCCGAGTTGTGAACTCAAAAATATAATTTAATTACTTAAAAAAACAAACAAAAAAAACATTAATTTTAAAACAAATGACAAATATTGTGTTTCATTCAGAACAGCTTTACTGAAACAAAAGAACATTTTCATCTCTAAATGTAACATTTTAATCAACAAGCCCTCTGAGAAGAAAAGTAAACTTACACACGTTACACAGTAAAAATGCATAGTTATGTACAGTTTACAGTACGTTCAAAAACTGACATGACTGTCTAAAGATAGTGTTTAACATTCATTTTAAAAAGTCTTTTTAAAGTTTTTCAGTAGTTGGCTCATGAACTTAAACACGTTTCATTATTTAAAACTGTCTGAAGAAGACATCAGAAATTGATCAGAAATTTCAACTTGGTGTAAAAACAAACAAAAAAACAAACAATAAACGTTCACCAAGAACTATTACCAATTTAAATAAGATTTGCATACAACATTTAGATCGCTAATCCAGAGCCCAAAACTTTTCCTAAATACACACAGAAAAAAATTCAACTCAAAGATTTTAAAACAATATATTTAAATAACTGTGGTGGTGGGTGTTATAAATGTAGCCATCATGTAAAACAAACAATTATTTTTAATAACTGTAAATAAAAATGAACAAAAAATAAAACGATATAAACGAACAGAACTAGAAAAGCTCGTCAGTAGTGAATGACCCATGTGTGTTTAGGATGAACACAAAACTAAAGAGAGCACCAGTTCACTTCAAACATTTCAAATTAAACCAGAAGCAAAAACACGCTGCTTAATATTTCAACTAATGTCAACTTATTGATACTCGTCATAACCAGTGTAATCGGCTTCAGCTCCTCTGTACTGCACATTTCCTAAGATGTGCTTTAAAAACGCCAACGAGCAACAACCGGTTTAAAATCAGTTGTAGCGTCTGTTGTAGCAGAGACCAAAAAACGATTCCATTTGAAAACAGTGATCGATTTAACCTTAAACTCTCCTTAACTCAAATAAAACCAGAGGTCTGTCGAGGAAACATCTCTGAATCTTTCTCAAGCGCCCGTGAACCACACCGAGCAGGAGGCAGAGGTTTTCTGACGCCGCTGAGTGACAGACGTGCGCAGGCGTCTCTACAGTTCATGAGCGCGGCGGCTGCCTGAGCGATGCTTCATCTCCAGCTGTGGTACGCGTAGAAGCCGACGAACAGCAGGTTGGACGTCAGGCTCACCAACAAAAGACCTGGCCAGACGAGACGCTTCACAAAACCTGAGACGAGGGCGAAACGTTTCATAAAGTCATTATATTTGTGTGTTTACAGATGTGTTGCATAATTAAACGTTTTCATTAGTTTCAAGCGAGAAACATGTGGAAGCTCTATATCTTTGAACATTTTGTTTACACCTAGAGGTTACCCGAGCATCATCACCACGCATTTCATTGCATATTCCTGTGCGCCGGTCACTTCACGTTAAGAGGAGTACACCATGTACATGACCTTAGTAAAAGTACACAGTATAGCGCAGGAGTATCTACACTTTTTCAGCATGAGAGCTACTTTTAAAACGACCGGGTCCAAGTGATCTAGCCCCGTTTACACGAGAACAACCTCTGGAAACGTTGGTGTTTTTTCAATGTTAAAACAAAACGAGAGAATTTACATGAAAAACGCTGTAGTTTCCATGTCAGTCGGGTTGCCAGATAAGAAATTATAAACTATAGTACTGTGGCTTTAAAATTATAGTATTTTGACCTAAACTGTCACATGTGCTGAGTAAAGATATTCTAAGATGAGGTGTGTGTTGTGTTTGTTGAACATGTGCATGGAAAAGGGGAGGGTAAATAAGACATTTTAAATTTATCTGGCAACCCTGATGCAGGGCTCAGCTGCAGTCGCGTCTGCAAGACAGTTACGTCCAAACTGGTGAACACACTAATGCCTCTTTGTAACTGGATTTTATTAGTTTTGCTATATTGGGCACCCCTGGTATAGTGTGTATATGACCTTAGTAAAAGTACACAGTGTAGTATGTACATGGCCTTAGTGAAAGTATAATGTTCTCTAATGAAGCATTGTTGTTGTAAGAAGTCTTTAACCTACACCATCAAGACCAACATCATTCTGGAGGAAGAGACGAGTTTTAACATCTTGTCTCTAGTTTACTTTTATGTCATTTTCAATCGTTTTCAATTGAGGGTTGTCCGATCCATATATATTTTTTATCGTAGCACAGGAAGCCCTTGGCACTAAACTGAAATGGTTCAAATATTTTGGTCCATGACAAAATATTAAAAGGTTTTGACAGAACAACTATTGTTGTGTCTGTCACAGTAGGTGCATGAAGATGTTTAATAAAAACCCAGCTGACAAACAGCCGTTGCAAAATAATTAAATGTCATACTTCAGTGGACTTCATTCCAGTACATGTGGTATATCTGTGTACCTTTAGAAGGAGAGAAGCTCTCAGGACTTTGTGTCGTCGTGCCAACCTGGCATGCAGAGGACTCCGAGGAGCTGCTCCGTTTCTCCTCCTCCTCAGTCACGCTGCTGCCTTTCATTAAGGAACTCAAATCTGTAAAGTAGAAACAGCAATTTAATTCATGAAACTATAACCTAGAGCCAAACCATCCCAACAACAAAATAATAATTTTTGCATAGAAAACCGATTGAGATTTGACATTTGCACAGCTGTTTGGTGGAGGAATAATAAATGAAAACGTAAAATGCAAAGGAGGATTTTTTTTTCTCCAGCTATACTTACCATTTTGACTTTGAAAAGAAGAAATGTCACGAGAGAAGCAGCCGCTGTAAATGGACGAGGCCGGCTCCACGTAGAAAGGAAAAGGAGACAACGGTGGAGACACGAGCTTCGGTTCGGGTTCGTTGGAGAAAAGACGGAGTTTCTGTCCGCTGATGTTGAGGCGAGCCGGACTGATGAGGGGACGGCGCTGTCTGGCAGAACCTGAGCTGGATGTAACGGACCCGGCCACTGAAGGTGTCGGAGAGGGGCCCGGCGATGATGGGCAGCTTCCAGACTTCAAAGAAAAGTAGTCTGGGTCCAAACAAAACCAAAAAAGAACATTAATTTCATACTGAGAACCTGTCTTTTTACTAATATAGTTTCAGTACCTGAGGTTGTCGAGTCTTTGTACAGAGAGGCCGGTCGGCTGCCACTGAACAGGTAACCAGAATCTGAGAGCAAACAAGGAAAACTAGATGTGATCACGGCATTTAGCAGAACTGTAAAAACACATATTAGGACTGAGTACAAGTACACACGCAGCGTTCTGACATATTACAAGGTCAAACCAACACAAAACTACTTCATGCTTTGGGACATAAGCAGCTTTTTAATTTCAATATCACAAAAATAACAAACAAAAACAAAAAACAAAGATTCTGTAATAAAAGCATCTCAAGGTTATAGTCAATCAAAAACAACAACAACAAAAAAAAACTAGACAAATTGCCTTTCCTGCGAAAATACAATGTGAATGCTTATTGCATAAAAACTTGCTGAAAACCAGCTGAAATTAGCTAAAAACATGCTAAAATGTAGCTGAAATTAAAGAACAAGCCTTAATTAGCAGAAGAAAGCAGAAATAACACATTTTTGTTGCGGTTGGTATTAATTAGCAGAAATGAGCACAACAATTTGGAAATACCGTAAGGTAAAAAAAAAAGGGAAAAAGTTTAAATTGGCAATAAACAAAAAAAGGTTGAAAAGTAGCCGAAAAGGCAGAAAGAAGCTTAAACTACCAGAAGGAAGCGGAAAGAGTTGAAATGAGTTAAAAAATGTGGAATTAGCTGAAAAGGCTAAAATTAGCATAAACTAAATAGTAGCTTAAATAGCTGAAACTAGCAGAAAAAAGCTGAAAGGAGCATAACAAGCTGAAATTACCATAAAGAAGTTAATTAGTCTGAAAGTAGCAAAAATTACCATGAAAAATTTGAATTTATCTGAAAACAGCTGAAATTAGCTAAAAATGCTAAACATGTAGCTGAAAATGTAGAATGCAAGTTAGCAGAAGAAAGCAGAAAGAACATATTTGCCCAATTAGGCTGAAAGGAGAAATTAGCATAAAAACATGGAAATTATCTGAACAAATCTGAAATTAGCAAATAACAACTGAAAAGTAGCCAAAAAAATCAGAGAAGCTTAAATTACCAGAAGAAAGTGGAGAGAGTACATTTTTGCTGAATTACGCTGAAAAAGTTGAAATGAGTGCAAAAAATGTGGAATTAGCTGAAAAGCTAAATTAGCATAAAACAGCTAAATAGTAGCTGAAATAGCAGACAAAGCTGAAACTAGAAGAAATAAGCTGAAATTCGCATAACAAGCTGAAATTAGCAAAAAGTTAGAAGCAGCACAAAAATGTTAGCAGAAAGAATCTAAAAGGATCACTAAACAGCTGAAGAACAGCTGAAGTTATGGTAGCTGAAAAAGTTTAAATAAGTACAAGGAAGCTGAAAGAAGCTGAAGCAGAACAAAATGTGAAAGGAGCAGTAAAAGGTTGTAAACACATCTAAAGATTTGAAGGATGTAAAATGAGCTCAACTCATTTCCTTTGAGAACAAAATGGCAGAAAAGGCTAAATATTTCAAAAAGCTAAAGTTGCACCAATATACCAGGATTGTCCTGATAGAGCTGAACATTTTGATATATGATGTGTTGAAATAGTTTGAAAACTGCAGGACGAGAATCGTGCCAAAAAAAATACACTAAGAGAAATGGATCACGATAGTATGAACACAAACCAAAAAAGTACACAATTATCTGAAATGGTACAACTAGTTCTATTTCATATAGGCTTCGCCCTTTAAGGCTGTCGCTGATGGTTTATCCCGTTATGCAGAGCATAAGCACTGAAAAAAATTAGTCCACGCCCACCTGCTGTGTGGGCCCACCCGGTCCGTATAAATTACGTTAAGAGCGGGAAATCGGCTCCCATTTTTTCTTCAGCGAGCTAATATAGCACTGTCAGAAGAACAAAGAAGATAAATTGTGTAAATGACCAACCTTTGCGAAAGATGCTTGGCCCGGCAGTCGACCTCCGGTCGTCCGGTGAGTTCTCCTCCCCGAGGAGAAGATGACAGCAGTCTTATTCCAAGGTAAGCGTCGTGGAACATTTCCCAGTGACAGGTCACTACACGCTGGACAACGCCATCTTGTGGTTTTCCTCTTATCGCCGACCCTCGGGGCGAACCGGATGGTTCCTCCGGGGCAAGGCGTGCTCAGCTGCAGCCCCGCTGCTCTTTCCCTCCTGGGGAGCGTAGTGTAGGTGGAGGGGGGCTGAGTGAATGCTCACCCCATCCCACCTCGTTTCGCATCGGCGATCACACCGCTCCCGGCCGACGGCGCCCTCAGGGGTTGCCCGGCGGAACCCAGGAGGAGGCTGACATGAAGGGACCCCTTTTTTCTACGTCCCTCGCCTTTTCCCGCCAGTTCGGATGATCGGCGGGAAGGTTATTTTTCACTGGGCTCCACTCTGGCTCACCGTCTTGATCCATACGGCCTCGCGTTCCAACAGGACGTTCCACGGGCGAGGCCGCAGACGGTTCTTTCCTGGTAGATTAGAGGAGTCGGTCCCCAGTCCGCTCCCATCACCAGAGTTGAGGGATTCACCGAGCGGGGCTATTCCTCGGTAACCCCCCCCCTGGAGCCAAGCCTCGCGGAAGCTTCCGGAGCGAAGCT